GGGCTTCGTGGACATCGTGGCGCGGCCGGCGTGCGGCGCCCTGGCCGGCCTGGCGCGCCTGCGGCCGCGCGTCCCCTACCTCTTCAGCCTGGCCCTGGTGGCCAACGGGCTCACGGACCTGAGCAGCGCGCGCGCGCGCTCCTACGGCGCCCTTGTGGCCTTCTGCATCGCCTTTGGTATCTCCTACGGCATGGTGGGCGCGCTGCAGTTCGAGGTGCTCATGGCGGCCGTGGGCGCACCCCGCTTCCCCAGTGCGCTGGGCCTGGTGCTGCTCCTGGAGGCTGTGGCTGTGCTCATCGGACCGCCCTCTGCCGGTGAGCCCCGCAGGAGGAGGGGGTGGCGAAGCCTAGCGCCCCTTAGTCCGAGAGAAGCCCCTGCCCAGTCCCAGATGGGACTTTCAAGAATAAGGGGGCGGGACCCATGGGCTGCTGGGTGGACTCCCCTTCAAGGCCCGTGAGCCCCTCCCCCAGCTCTGGGTGGGGACGGAAAAGCCAAGAAGGTGCTAGGAAGAAGCCAACGCTGAGAGCTGGCCCACTCGGCCATCTCAAGCAGTTGGTGCAAAGGCCTTGTGGCGTGCAGGTGCGTATTCTCATTTTGCAGATGGGGAAACTGAGGCAAGAGGGTTAGCACAAGTTGCAGTCCCAGAATTAGAGCCTTGGTCTACCCATACCTTTGAAACACTGCATCTGGATGCTTTAGTCTCCCCAGCCTCTAAGGATGACCGGAATAGGGACGGCATCTTTGGGGAACCAGCCCTGGGGCCAGGAGTACAGTGAGTTTCTTGCTTAATGAATGGGGAGGAGGAGAGACAATGGCATCTTCCATCGTGCCGAGTGTCTGATGGACACTACATTCGTCATGAGGGTGGTCAGAGAGAGCTCCTTGGCAGAGCCCCCAGGTGAGGGTACAGCATGAACAGGCACAGGGTTTGTTTGGGGGACAGTGTCCCTATACAAGTGAGGCAGGAGCTAAGATTGGCAAGTTTGGGGTGGGGGGACATTAGGGTCTTCTGAAACAGCAGGGACCCTGCCTTTGGGCAGGAGAGGAATTCGGTCAGGCTGCAGATAATGTAGTGACTGGGGAGGGCACCTTTGCTGGAGCCAGGCTGCACCTGAGATGGGGCGAGCTGCCCATTCTTCCTCCAGGGCTGGACTAACCGATTGCCCTCATCAAGCTTTGTCATCTTGCCTGAGTCAGTGAGAATGGCAAAGCCCCTGAGCTGGTGGGGTGGGCGGGGGGCTCAAACCCACCACCATGAGCCACAAAACCAATTCACCCAGAGGCTCAGGGACCCATCTTCCATTTCTTGTGTGACCCTGGGGTGGATCTAATGGGCAGAGAAGGCACGTGAGTGAGAAGGTGAAGGACACTACAGGGCTGGGTACGGGAGGGACAGGGACAGGGCTGGCTGGGCAGGGACCGGGATGGCAAATTTAGGAAAGTACCATGCAGAGGGGTTCAGGCAGGGCAACTGGCTTGGGGGACAACAGGGAACTTCCTGGAGGCCTCAGCCTGGCATGGACAGCCACAACAATGCTCCAGAGAGAGAGTGGAGCCCACAGAGGAACCACACTTTAGGGAAAATAGTTGCAATTAAAAGATTTCCCTGAGTATGAAAGTAATATGTGCATGTGATAGAAACCTTGGGAAATACAGAGGAAATAGGAGTTGCTGGCCCACATTCCCCGCCTCCCAGCTGTGCTGATCATAGTTCAGTCTGGGGTGCTCGTGAGCCCCAGGAAAGGGCAGGAGCCTGGGGGCAGGGGGTAGGAGGGCTGAGCCAAACCCCTGAAGACCAGGGGTTTTACTTGGAAAGAGCAAGAGTTGGAGGCCCTCAGGAGAGCAGGTTTAAACCCAGTGTCCCTTCCCCTCCCCTACCCCAAATACCTCCAGCCGGGCAAGTCACAGGTCACTCATGGGGCTTGAATCAGGGGATGCCTTGTATACTGTAAAGTGCCTCATCAAAGCCCCAGACGCTTAGAAATTGAGGTTCAGGGAGGGAAAGTGACATTTTTAACTTTTCAAATGGCAGAACCCACATGGGGTTTTGCATCTGTAAAACAGGAATAAAGACAGGCATGTGTGTGTCACCTGTAAGCCCCACCAAATTGGCAGCCCTGCCCTTTATCTAAGGGTGTGGGGCGGTGAAGGAGGAACCAGCCAGGCCCTTACCTCCCATCCCCCCACCCCAGGCCACCTGGTGGACGCACTGAAGAACTACGAGATCATCTTCTACTTGGCTGGCTCAGAGGTGGCCCTGGCTGGTGTCTTCATGGCTGTTGCCACCAACTGTTGCCTGCGCCGCTCTAAGGACACCCCATCAGGCCCAGGCACTGAGGGCGGGGCCAGCGACACTGAAGACGCTGAGGCCGAAGGGGACTCTGAGCCCCTGCCCACTGGCACTGAGGAGCCCAGCTGCCTGGAGGCCCGGGAGATGCTGAGCCCCCAGGTCAGGGCCATGGACCCCGATGTGGAGGCACAGTCAGGACCAGAGCCTGAGTCTGTGTAGCTTGGGGTGCACTAGACAGGGTGGTCCAGTGACTTGGGAACATGGCTTCCCCTCTCAGAGGGCCTGGCACACTGGTAGGTTGGTCTGGGCTCCAGTTGATTCCTTGGGTGTCTGGGGAACTCCCTCCCTCATGTGCCCAGCGGGCCATGCCAGGCCCTGTCCCCGGTCAGTGAAGCTGCTGTGGCCCGACAAGAAACTAGAGTTCATAAAGCTCAGCTGAAAGAAGGTTCTGTTCCTGCGCCTCCGCCTCTGCCCAGGGTTCTGGCTGCCACCTGAGTTAAGGCTGGGGTAGGAGGGAGTCTGAAGTTCTGTCCCCAGGGCCCCCTGAGCCAGCCCCGAGTTGGGCAGGAGTTGGGGAAGGAAGTGTCAGAGATGGATGAAGAGTGGGGGAGGCATTCCCGGGCCTAGACACACAGGGGCTGTTGGGTGTGGTGCTTGGCTCCTGCTCAGCCTGCCCCAGTGACTGCCATCTGCATCTTTCCTGGTGGAGGTGACAAGGGACTGGCAGTAATTATGTACAGCCTGAGGCTGGTGGCTGCTCGCAGGAAGAGGTCCAGAGCAGTCTGAGAAAGAGCACAGATCCCGGGGTCGGGGTCAGGGCGGAATCCTGGCCCAGGGACCTCGGCCTCCTCTGCACACTGGAGGCTGAGAGTGACTCCACCCAGTGGCGTTCTGCGAGGGTGGGGCCAGGTGCTCAGTAACCCTGCTGGCTTTCACAAGGTGTGCGCATCCTGTCACCTTCCTTCTCAGAAGAATGCACCTCTCTCTCCAGAGAATAAACTTGGGTGTCCTGGGGCCAGAGACCTGTGCTTTTGCTCTGGACACTGTTCTCCTGAGGACACCATGTGGCTCTGTGCAGCCTGGTCATCCATCCGCTGACCCTGGTGCCTGCTTCCCCCCCAGGGGTGTCCCAGGGTCCTCTTCTGAACTTGACTTATGGTCACGTGCACTTTGCAGGGATCTCTGTATCTCAGCCCAGCTGAGAAGATTTGGGAATCTACTCCCTCTGTTTATTCTCCTCCCGCAAGTTGTGTACCCTCTTTCTTTGCCTCCCTCCAAATCACGAGTGTGGTGAAAGGGCCCCTGCGGAGGAAGCAGCCTGCTCTCCCCCGCCCCCAAGGCTCCCTGCTCCTTCGGGCCCCAGCTCCTCAGCAGAGCCCATCCTACTGATGACCCCTCCCCCCGTCTCAGGTAGGCCTCATTTCCCATCCAGGCCTCAGAAAGGTCTAGGGAGCCCTGCAGACGCCAGCCCAACTGGCATTTATCCTGCACCTGTGGTACCCCTGTGCCACTAGAGCAGTGACTGTGCTTTACTTTATTTCACAAACTTAAAGAGCATTTACTCTGTGCCAAGCACTGTTGTAAACTCTTCACAAATAGGGAAACAGGCCAAGGGAGTTAGGAACTAGCCCAGGGTCACAGAGGCCACCAATGGAACCCAAGCTGTCAGTTCCTGTCTATGCCTCTGGCCTCCATGCTGGCTTCCCCCTTCAGAGAGGTGGTGCAGTCTGACAGTTCTGTGGGGACCCATGTGGTCTCCTGGTGGCAGCCCATCCCTCCCCATACACTCACTCCTACCTCAGAATCCCATTTGGGTTTCTGCCCAGGACCTGCATGCTCAAAGCTGATAAGCAGAAATCTTTTTTTTTTAAATTTTAGACTCTGCCCACCCACACCCTCCTGTTGCCTTCCGCTCTCAGGATGACCATATTCACTGACTAAGCAAGGACATCTGAGAGTGTAAAGGGCCACTATCACTGGGACCACAGGTGTGGACTAGAACTGGCCAGGCAAATAGGGATGCGTGGCTGCCCTATTCCTAGGACTTTGCAAAGACCCGGATGTCTAGTGCCCCATCTCTGTGCTTCTCCCCATGGTCCCGGGCAGTGCAGACACACCTGGTGTTAGTGAACACTCTCCCTTTAACTCTGTCTCCCCACTCAGGATCTTAGGTCACCCTGACCCAGTGTTTGTCCTGCCCTTCCCCAAAGAAAGGTTTATTTCAAGTCTGGAAGCACTGACGGGTCAGGGATAAGGGGGGAGGGATATAAAAGTCTCCACACAAAGCAGAATGCTTTGGAGGCAGGTGGCAAAGTCAAGCCTTTGGGGACGGATCTGAGTTCAGATCCCGCTCTGTCCCCATACATGGTATGGCCTTGAGCAAGATACTTCTGAGCTTCATGTCCCAACTGGACCTAGTGCCCATCCTGCAGGCTGCTGTGAGGACTTACTGAAGTGTCTGTACAGGGACCTGTCACAAATGTTGTTCCCACCCTCCCTTGGGGTCAGGGAGGTGGCCACAGAGGCAGGTCAAGGGAGGAGGAGGATCTGAGGCCACTGCAAAGAGCCCAGCTCCACATGGGTTGTGTTTATTCAGTACAGGCCCAGCACCAGCCCTGTTCCAGAGAAGTGTGAGCTGGGGGAGCAAAATAAATAAAGGCCGCCGCGGTGTGCGCTGGGTGGGGTCCGCCTGGGGCGAGGTGAGGGTGTACACGAGACAGTGGCCCCACCTTGGGCTGTCCCCCTAGCCCCACACTCCTGGCAGGCTCCGGGGGGGCCAGCAGAGTTGCCCACGAGGATCGGGTCCTGGACGCTCTGCCCCCTCCAACCCGTCTTCCTTCCTGCTCTCGTCTCCTTGCTAAGGCAGGCCCAGAGACCACTCTTCCTCTGGCTGGGGAGGTGGGGGAAGGCAGGCTGGAGGGTGCCTGTGCTAGGACAGAGGAGCACGGAGGCAGGCGCCCCGAGCCAGCAGGCCTTTATGCGCCACCCTGTTGTGCGGCGGCCCCGCCCCCGCTCCCATGGTGCCATCCTCCCACTCACCCTACCCCTGAGGTCTGCACCCCGCCAGGGCACTCAGGAGTCACACCAGCTTCCACCCTTGTCCAAGGGTCCGGTGGCCCCTTGCGTATCCCTAGACGGCTCCCCGGATGCTGTGTCCTCATCCTCCTCCTCCTCGTCCTCCCCATCGATGAACTCATCCTGGGTGAGGCCGTAAGCCAGTGTGGTGTGCGCCAGGTCCACCTCGATGGGGAAGACGTCGGCGTTCCGCAGCACTGCATAGCAGTCATTGTAGTACTTGGACATGGTGGACACGAAGCGCTGCAGCTGGAACACAATGTCCTGGACTAGGGCAGGAGGGAGCGGGATAGTTCCGGTGGGCTGTGGCTGCCTGCCTGTGGAGAAGACCCTCCGAGCCTGCCTGCCTGCTGCCCTCCCCTGGGCTCCCCACTCGGGCACCTCCCCAACCCCTCTTGCCCTGGAAAGCAGGGAGGCATGGGCTGCCCAGCCCTACACAGCAGGCCAGCCCAAAGAATCCAGGCCTCCCAGCTCCCAGTTCAGGGAGCAGAGGAGGCTGCCAGAGGAGTGGATCGTGGACTGCACCCCACGCCAGGCTCTGGACAGGGGAGTGGGCTCCTGCCAGGGCTTCACATCTTGGGTCTGACTTAAAGCTCTGCAATGGCCTGGTCCTAGGACCTCAGGTAAGCACATTGCCTCTCTGGGTCTCAGTATTCTCATCTCTGAAATGGGGAGAAGAGGTACCCACCCCCAGACTGAGGACCATGTGAGGACTGACTCAGGCAGCACATGGCCCTCAGGTCCCAGCGCCCACCTACGTCCCTCACCATGCTTCTGATCCAGCAGCTCCATCTTCTCTAGCACATCCTTGCGCATTTGGGAGAAGCGGGTGCGGGCCTCCTGGCGGCAGCGCAGGATCAGGCGGTACTCGTAGTTGCCTGTGCTCACCCGGTACAGGGGCTCCCCTAGGGCCTGGGGCAGGGGGAGCACATTAGGGACCCTGGGCAGAAGGGGGGTATGCTCGGGGACAGATGGGGCAGGAAGGCTACAGAGCCGACCACCAGCTCACACCCTGTACCACATTGTACTTTTCAAAGCTACTGCAGTTCCTTGTTTCTGAGACACCAGCTGGAGTTAGAAGCACTTAATAAATGGCTTTGGAGGGAGAAAAACCAACAAAACCCCTAAACACTTGCCACATTGAAGAAATGAACATTGGTCATAAGACGGACCCTGACAGCAAAAATATCAAAAATTAAAAAAACAAAAAGTGCCTCTTAGGAGTAAAGAAAGTCAGTTTTTTCCTGCAAGAGCCTCACAAACGCTAGGGGGCAGCTGGCCTGGGAGCAGGCATGGGAGTGGTTCCGGGGCAAGTTGGCCAGTGCTCCAGAGGCCCAGGGGGCTGAGGCTGGGGGTGGACAGCCCCAATCTCCAGGAGCAAGAGTCTGGCCAAGCCCCCAGGTCTCTCCCAGGTTGGCCTGACCCACCTGATATCCTAGAGACCCAGGACATTCTTGGGGCCTGGGGCAGGCGGGGGAAGGTATTATCCCCCCCATCCCTCGACACTCACAATGCAGCTGTATTCCTCGTCGTCCATCTCCTTCACCTTTAGGCAGTATGACTGTGTGGGACAGGTGAGGCCAGGCTGTCAGTGTGGCTGTGTCACCCGGATGTCCCCAGCTCCTCCCATTCCACACTATGCCCCCAGGCCACTCCAGGAAGCTGGGCCCATGCAGAAAAGGGCAGCCATGCCAGGCCTCCTGGGTCCTGCAGACCCCCAGCTGGGGTAAGCTGAGCCGCATCAGGGAAAAGCTGGTGGCAGGTACTCAAGGAGGCCCAGGGAGATGGGTGAGGGCACTCATCTGGGAGAGCAGACAGGGCTTGAGGGCTTAGCCCAGAGTTTGCCAAATTCAAGTGCCAAGAAATGCTCTGTGAAAAAAGGTTCCATGGGGAAAGGAATTTGGGAAGGCCATGGAAGACTCATGCAAAGGCTCTGAGAAGTTCTGTAGCAAAAGAACCTTGGCTTGCCTGATGGAGCATTTTTTCTCAACTCCTTCAACCATAGAATTATTATTTAAATGTAAAACTCATTAACATCTCTTTACACTCAATTAAACAACCACTGACCTGGTCTAACCCACTGTTAAAGGTGACAAAAAAAATCCCGAGGAGTCAGAGGGATGCAGAGTGACAGCTCTGCCCACCCCAGCCTCTCAAGCCTCCCCAAGGCTCCTCTGAGCAGTCAGGGCAGGACCTAGGCTGCTGTCCATTCTCCAGGCACCTCCCCAGGTCCCTGGTCCCACACCCCCAATCAGGCACAATGGAGGTCTTGGCCCTGTCCTGCTTGCCATGGTGGGACTGACTGAAGAGGGACCAATCCCTGGGACAGGCTCTCTCCCCAGCAGGCCAGATGCCTGCAGCCTACTCACCAGGTACTCAAACTTCACGTCCAGGTACTTCTTGATGGTGAGGCGAGTGTCTGGGATGGCTTTATTGAGGTATGTGTTCAGATCTGTCAGCATCTGAAAGGGGAGGGAGGGCGCTTAGACCCTCATGGACAGGAGGTGGCCAGGGTGACAAAGAATGGCACTGATATGTCATCTCTTCTAGTCAGAACCAAAGAGCGTTTCCTGACATCTTTGTCCATTTCAAGGATGAGAAGACTAAGCCCAGGCTCAGGCAAGCTGTGACTCAGTAGCAAAGCAGAAGACCTGTGCTTAGAAACCAGCTTAGAGGTCAATGCTGAGGCCCAGGGAGGTGCAGTGACTTACCAACAGTCAGTTGTGTAGGTGTCCGAGCCAGAGCCTGCACCCAGGCGTTCTGACTTCAGTACAGGACCTTTTCTGCAGCCATGTTGTCCCCTTCCCGCCCTCATATGCTGGACACACACGTGCTCAGTGGGACCTACCGGCTTGATGGTTTTCAGTAGCCGAATGCCAAACTTCTCAATGCTGCGGTGGGCGTCGGCAAACTTCACAAAAGCCTCGCTTGCAGCTGGCTGGGGCTCCCGCACCCCAATCACGGAGAACACATCCCCAAAGGCTGCATGACAAGTTTGCCTTGAAGGCTGCCCCTATTGACCCCCTAATGGAGAAGCCAGGGGTTTGTTGGGGAGAAGCAGGGCATGGGGCCTGGCAGGCTGAAGGCCAATGTCTGCATGGGGTCTACGCTTTGAGGGAGCCGGGTCTACACTCCAAGGGAGCTGGGTCTACAAGGGAGCCAGGTCTACTCCTCCAAGAGGGTTGGATCTACACCCTGAGGGAGCTGGCCCTCATTCCTGAGGGACCAGACCATGAGAGAAAGGTAGGCCAACATTTGAGGAGGTGGTGGTGTCAGAGGGCAGAGCACTGGCTGGGAATGTGGACGCCTGGGTTCTAATGCCAGCTCTGCTCCTCAGGAGCTTTGTGACCATTTCCTCCATCTGGGCTTCATTCTCCCAGCTGTAAGTGGGATTAGCTGAAGCTATCCCGCCCAGTTAGACTTGTAGGAAATGAGACCACAAATAAGGAGGACCCTTGTGCACAGTAAGTGGCAGTGTGAGGAGGCAGGACAGAGCCTGGACATCCCACTATTGTGCCCCTCAGAAAGCCAGCTGGCCAGATGCTCCCCACTGGCCCATCTTTGCCACATCCAAGCATCTAGGACCCTGCCCAGCCCACAGCTAGCCCAAGTCAGATGCTGTGGGTCTGACTACGCACAGGCATCAGAGGGGCCCCAGGGAGGTTCCTGTTCACACCCTCACTGTACACGGGAACTAAGCCCAGAGAGGGGCAGGGATTTGCCTGGGGTCACACAGCAGGTTTGGGGATACCATTACCTCGATGGGTCTGTGACAACTCATAAAAGGCCCGCAGGAGGTTCTTGGTGTGTTCCATCATCCCTGTGGGAGAGACCCGAGTGACAGGAGATGGCGGCACGGTCTCCAAACTCCCACCCCATCCCTGAGGCCCTCGTGGGTTCTGACTTTTCCCACAGCCCCACTAAGGCCCAGTGGTGAAGGGTCAGCCCCAGGCCCACCCATGAGGGGGCCCCATCAGATGGGGGAGCCAGACTTCCTATGCTGCAGGTGAACAGGAGCTCCTATGGGCTTTGTCTCTGGGATAGCACAGGATTCTGGGAAACTCTCGCTATGTTTACAGGTGTTAAAATTTGAATTTTTATGGGTATGATTTTTAAATTCAGAAAAAGTAGGTATTCTTCAGAATTCTTAATGGCCATGGTCCTAAATTTTGTACGCTGGCATTCCTGCCCCCCATGGCCACCCTCCTTAGAGCAGGGCTCCCCAGGGTAGAGCCAATGCCAGGCTGTCCTGGACCCACCTTTGTATAACTCGGCAGTCCGCTCCAGCTCTTCCAGCCTCTTGACAAGCCCATCTGTGGGATCCAGACGGAAGGCGGTCAGTTGGCTTGGTAAGCCAGGGGGAAGGAGGCCCCCAACCAGGCTGAGGAGGGAGGGGTGGCTCCAGAGGAGAGCCAAGCTCAGTGTGGAATGGGGAGCCTGGGGAGGGGATCTGGTACGTCAAAGTCAGCTGGGATCGGAGGTGTTTTGTAGACCACTCAGCAAACCCAAATGAGAGGCATGAGGGGACAGATAGGACAGCCCTCAGGACACTGCTGAGATAAGCCCCCACCCCAGCAGGCTGGGGCAAATCCAAGGGGCAGGTGGGTGATGATGCCACAGGTACTTCCAGAGTCATGACCAAGGCCAAACCTGTGGTGGCACCCCATGGCCAGCAGAAGACAGGCCCTGCTCAGCAGCCAAGGCTCTCCGTGCACCTACTGCAAAGCCCACTGACAACCTGGGAGGAAGGCATCAGAGACAAGCCCGAGAATATGACGTGTCAACCGTAACTCTCACGCAGGCTACATGTAGCCACTGCCACAGAAGGAGCACACGACAGCCGGAAGGGAGAGTACAATTTGGGGAGGGGAGAGAAATTCAAGGCCTCCAAGGAAGGGCTCCCATGGGAGGCAGGCCTTGGCCATCGTATTCGTTGGCTTAACAGGAGTTTACTGAGCACCTACTTTGCACCGGCCACTGTGTCAGGCCCAGGGGGTGCCATGGTGAGCAAGATCCAAGTCCTGCCCTCCAGGCTGGAAGCCTAGCAGAGGAGCCAGGCCAGTGGCTGGGCAATGACCAGCAGTGTGACAGTAAGGGCTTTGGTGGGGGTGGGGTGGCAGCCACCTCAGCTCAAGGGCTCGAAATGGAAGATCATTGCCAGGGATGGGGCAGCCATTCCAAATTGAGGGTGGGGTGGCGTGGGAGCTAATGAGAGAAGCTAAACACCAGGACAGTGAGAGGCTATGCCATTTATCCTCAGGCTCCCACTGACTCTGTACCCCTCCCCAATAGGAGCAGAGGGCAGCGGCCCCCTGGGCAGCACTTGGCCTTGACTAGCACCAGCAGCCACTTACTGAGTTACTGTGCTGAGAGCCAGGCCTGCTGAAAGGTCCCTGGACACATCTAAGGCCTTCCTCAATCTGAGCCTTTGGAGCAGGGACTACTCCCCCCATTTTACAGAAAAAAGCAAGGGACAGAGAAGTAAAGCAACTGGCCCAAAGTCACACAGCCAGAGACTATCTTAGCAGTCTCCCTTGTTGACATGAGTCAGGGTTGCTTGAGCAGGAGAATGGAGGGGAGTGGTGCAGGCTGAGCTGGGCAGGAAAGGCAGCCATAGGGTGGGCTACTGAGGGAGGAAGGGAGTGCCCCGAGGGTCTTAGGAGGCTTTGGCCACCTGACAGCCTCTGGCCCTGGCTCCCCAGAGCCTCAGCACCTGCCAGTTGGAGGGACAGTGCCATGTAAGAGCTGTGCTGTTGTTTTTAGCTGGGTCATGGGACATCATAACAGCTTCAATTTTAGAAATCCTATTTAGGACTGGGGAAATTGCAAGGTTTGGGGGGAAAAACACAACCACCAGTTCTAATTTCATCTCAAGGCATGGTAACTACAGTAACAAGGATTTATAGGCACCAAAAGGCCGAAAATAGCAGCCGCCACTTCTGTATACCACCCCCACTTCCCCAGCCACTCGGGCCCAGTGCGCCCAGCTGCGCCTACAATTTATATAAGTATTTATATCTCTCCCCACACATACACTGCAAAGAGGCTGCTATTTATAAACCCAGGCTGGCGACAGTCGGAGTAGGACTGAGTGTTTTTTTGCCACCCCAGGGAGAAAGCGTGTGCGTGCGCGTGTGTATGTACGTGGCTCTTCCCCTGCTGTGCCTGGGCTGCCACCTCCAGAGCACTGGGCAGGCCCTGCCGAGCTGAGGGCAGCAGCGCCACCTCCTGGGGAAGGCAGCAGCCGAGGTGGGCACTGCGGGAACAGCGTGAGCACTGGCCTGAGGGGTGAGGAGCCTGTTGGAACTGGGCAGGAGGCTGAGGCCCGGCTCTAAGAGAGAGCTGGGGGACGGTGGCGAAGGCACCAGCCTCTCGGGCTGGCCCCAGCTCTGCATCCCCCAGCTCTGGGAGCTGGCAGGAGGCACCTCGCCACTTTGAGTCTGCCTCCTCATCTGTGACCTGGGGGACACTGGCTGTAAGAACAGCCCAGCTGACAGACAGCTGTGAATCTCTCTGGGAGCTGAAGAGGTCTCCAGGGATGCACAGAGATGGTGACCTATCAGCCTCACAGGCAGAGGCCAGGGCCAGAGTTGGGTGGTAGGAGGGAACTCACCGTTGCTCAGGATGGCCCGGCTCAGGCCCAGGGCATCTGCAGTCCCCGAACTCATGTTCTCCACCAGCCGGTGCTTGACCTTCTTCAACACTGGGCCAGGTGAGAAAGGATCCAGTGAGTTTGCCGCGGGCCCCCAGGCCACCCCTGCTCCAGCCTCATCATGACTCACTGGGAGCGACCAACAGGGGGCAGAAGGAGGGGCTGAACTGGGCTTCGGTGCTGGGGGTGGCGATGCAGTGGGAAGAGTCCCAATGGACTGAACCTCCTGCCCTGTTCACTCTACTTCACAGAGGTGCTGGGTCTGATAGGTGGTGACCACGAAGTGCTTAGCCAAGGCCCTGGTAGGGGACATGAGTGACACGGTGTCACTGAGGGCCCAGTGCTGCCCAGGCTCAACGCCGGCTCACAGGCAAGCCAAGAAGCACCTCTTCCCCTCTTCTCTCCTACATTAGGACCTGGGGTGTCCTGTAGGAGGGGAGAGGCGGAGAAGGGTCAGTCCCTGGGGTGGTTATATCAAAGTAACAGGCACCATCAATGACCACTGACTTTGGACCCCAGACCCAGTTATTGCATAGGAACAGCTTAGTCCTTGGAAGGGTTCCTGGGTTAGAACCAAAGAGTTTTAGAGAAAGAACCTTCCAGGACAGACTCAATCTGTCTTAGCCTCTTTCTTTTAAAATCAGGAGGTGGCTCTGGCTCTAGGGTATAGGAAAAGGGTTGCTGGACTCCAGAGTTGAGAGGTCCAGGTGTGTGCTCACCAGGGAACCCCAGAGCCCTCTCTGGGTTTCAGGTTTGGATCTGCAATGTGAGGCAGCTGGTCCAGAGGACCTCAGAGCTACTCTCCAGCTCTTGAGTCCTAATGTTTCTACAGAACTAAGGCCCAGACCTTCTAACAGGAGGCAATTTGTCCCAAGGCATGTTGTGGGCAGAAGGGCTGGCCTGTGACCCTCTGCCCAATGCCTAAGGTCCAGTTCAGACCTTGGATCTAGGAGTAGATGGCAGACGAAGAGGCCAGAGGGGAATGGGGGGTGTGCAGGTGGGCATGAGGCACCAGACCAGGGTAGGGCTGCCCACCCTTTCCTAAAGGGCAAGGACCTGGGCTGCAGTAAGCCCAGAGCTGGTCCATAAAGGACAATCTCAGAGCAGCAAGATCCTAGAGGAGGTGGCCAGGGCAGTGGGTGTAAAACACAGGGCAGCAAAAAACCAGGGGTGGGATCCAAGGCAGCGGCAGGGAGACCATCCAGGTCCTCCCAGGCCTTTCGGATCTGCTTGGTCAGAAAAAGTTGGAGGCCACGGCTATGTAACTAATGATGTTGTTATCATAATGGGGAGAACAGGGGCTGGGGCTCTTCTCCTCTGGGCAGGGGGCTTGCGGGGCCACTGGACACTACTGCTCTGGCCAGGCTTACCAATGTCCAGGGACATGCCCTGCTTGGGATCTGCCTGCAGCTTGTTGTAGTGGATGGTCACTTCCCCCTGGAAGAGCAGCATAGGCAGAGTTGTGGTGTAGTCTTGGGACCCCAAGTCCCTTCCCCAGCGAGGCCTGTCTGCCCCAGAATCCATGGGTCATGAGAGAAACTTGAGCCCCAGTAAGGGCTAGGTTGAGGGCTGTGACGTGGCCCAGTGTTGTAATCCTGTCTGCTCCTAGGCCCCTCCCTTCTGTTACTCTAGGCCCAGGCCATAGGGAATCAGCAGGGACAGGGCAGGCATGGCCCCTGTCATCGCAGAGCTCACAGCCCAGCAGTCTCTGATGTCCTGTGCTCTGGTCAGATCAGGTATCCTTTCCTCCCCACAGACCTGTCATCGCAGAGCTCACAGCCCAGCAGTCTCTGATGTCCTGTGCTCTGGTCAGATCAGGTCCCCCTTTCCTCCCCACAGATACCACACTGTAAACTTCTGCCACATCACTGCCCCACAGAGAATATCCCCTCCTCCACTCTAAGTCAGCCCATCTGCAGGAGTCCCTCCATTGACTCAATGAACGTGTCTGAGCACTTGCTCTGTGCCTGGTGCTGGGATACCGGGGACAAGGTGCAGGCGCAGCCCAGCCCCACAGGGATGAGCAGGGGAGGCCAATGCGAGTCACAGAATTACACAAACTGCCTTCCAGTGACTGCTCAGGAGAGGGCTTGTGAGCAGAGCTGCAGGCTTCTCCTGAGAAGCTTTCCCTGACCATGTGAGGCCACCATGATCACTCTCCTCATTGCAATCTGAAGGCCCTGGAATTTGGGACTGAATACATTCAAATATAAAGCAAAATTTAAAAATTGAGACCTGAAGGGAAACCAAAATGAGCCAGTGCAGTCAGTGGGGGGTGGGATGTGAACTGCTCCCTCAAAAACCACTCCCTCAAAATGTAACACATAACACGGAGTATGCCGGCCCCCCCCCCTCCCCAGGCGGCAGCACACTGGGGACACACTGCAGGGGGAGTTGCACCCCAGCTCCAGTGCAGCTGTGTGACCACAAGCAGATCACTTCTTCTCTCCGGACACCAATACAATGGGACAGTAATCCCTGCCTGGCACCCAAACGTGGGAGCTGGGGGAGCCCCGCACTGGTGTCAAGGCTGCATACAAACATGAAGAGCTCCTGTCCTGCTGGGCAACGTGAGGGGCTGGCATGAGACAGGCCTCGGAGGACAGGGAGGGTCCTGGTGAGTGGGGATGGAGACGGGGCAGGGATGCAGGAGAAGGGGGTCGCAACCACCCAATGCTGTGCCAGAATGAAACACCCTTCCCCTATTTTCCATGATCAGGTAACATCTGCCCAACAGGTACTGCCCAGGACAGTGATACCCAGACCATGTGGAGTGGCCTCTGGGGTCTCAATCAGCCTTGTCACTTCCTTCTGTACAATGGAGCTCTGAGATCTAGCCCCAGCCCCTGATCTGTCCTATGTCTAATGGGACTCCAACAGGAGAAATTATAGGATTGGAATTTTCCTCTGTAAAGGAAGGAATGAGACTAGCAGTGATGACTCAGGAGCAGGATGGGAGAATGAAGGAGAGAAGACGAGGAAGTGGCTGGCCTGGGCTAAGGCAAGGAAGAAGGACTGTGAGGGATGCAGGAGGATGGACGTGGGTTGGGGAGAGTAGGAGTGGCTTGGGTGGTTGGGGTGAAGGGGCTAAAACACTCAGCCAAGCTCAATTCACGGTGGGGAGGAGCATCGCCCCCACAACTTGGAAATCATCCTCTGACTCTGTGCTTCCTTCACATTGGCTTTTTCACTGTATTGGTTTCCCAGGACTTACTAGTAGCAAAATCTCTAGGAAATGGCAAGAAGGCTGCATGCTTGCTGCCAGAGCGGCCAGGATGCTGCCTGCCACTCAGAGAGGGAGGGTCCCTGTGGAGAGGCCTGGAGCAGCTGGTGGTAGGGGGTGCAGGGGGCAGGCGGCATGTGATTGTGGTCTGAGAACTGAAGAGCAGCTGGACTGGGGGCTGCCCCAGTGCCTAGAGGGGAACTAGGGAGTCTGCGAGCCAAGGAGGACCCACTGGACTGAAGGTTCCTACAGGGATAGGGTAGGGGACTCCACTTTCCCTCTTACCCTCCAGGCCCAGCATGGCCTGGCTGACATTACTGGGTGTCTACTGACTCAGGGAGGTTCAACTTGGACTTTTAGATTCAGCTCTAGCCCTGACACATTGGCTCACCCCGTGCCATGGTTCTGAGTCTGTCAGCTCACCCGGGAGCTCACAGGGGCCTTGTGGTTTTGCTCCCTACTCTCTCGCCAAAGCCCAGTGCAAGTCCTGGAGCACAACTCGTATTTATTGAATGAATGAGGGATAAACCGAGGGACGTTGCAATGTGATCATGACCCTGACGTGCCAAGGAGGTGAGCAATGAGAGGGCCGATCCCCGCCCCCCCGTCCAGGCCTGTGGCAGCCTGGAGGTCAGAGTACGCTTGGCTGCCTCTGGGCCCTGTTCCCCAGCAGCCTCACCTTCACCTCCTGGATCATCCTTGCCACCTCCACCTTAGTTTTTCCTTTGATTGACTTGCCATTGACACCGGTGATCTCATCGCCAGATGCCACTGTGCCGTCCAAGGCTGCTGGGGTATTGTCAAATACCTGTGGGTGCATAAGGCAGGAGGCAGGGAGGCCTGAGGTGAAACCTGGAGAGGACGGTCATTCCCTCCCCACCAGCCAACGCCTGGCTCTGTCTTCATCTCTACCCTCCAGTCTCTCAAAAGGGGCCAGTGAAGGCAAACGTAAAAACTCCTAAACAGACCGAAATGAAGGGGCCCATATTCTTGGAGAGAGGAGAAGGACAGGATGTAAATGTGAACTGATGAGACTTTCCTTTCCTAATATCAAATACACCAAACCTTACACACCCATGAGTGTTGCTCCTCCAAGGTCATTTCTTTAAGAGGTTTTCCAAAAATGCTGCTCTGAGTTGACTCCAAGCCCCAGAGCACCTCTTGTCAATCGCTGTGCCTCACCTCAGTCCCCAAGACTCAGGGGCTACCCTGAGCAAGGGCTCCACAATGCCTGTGAGCTCCTTTTCCCAAGGTGAGCACTTCAACAGGATCCACACTCAATGGCCGTGTGAGGTTGGGTGTGTCTGCCATGTCAGAGGTCAGATGTGTGATACTTACAGCAAGGGGAAAGTAGGCTGCTAAGTGTACGCACGAATAGCGCAGGAACACAAAACTGTATCAGAAAAGAAACCACTAGGAGAGATACTGAAATTATTAGCAGTGGTTCTGACATTGTCTTCCCTCTACTTTATCTTTAGTTTCTAAATTTCCCACAAAATGCATGTTTAAAAAAATGCTTTATAATGTGATACGTGTGTGTGTGTGTGTGTGTGTAAATGTTACAAGGAAAAAATGAAGTGAAATAATTAAGATGAACATTTCTTTCTGCTACCTTCCAGAATCACACTAAAAAACACAATAATGGTGGTAAAAGACTTGTACAATGAAAACAACAAAACATTGCTGAAGGAAATTAAAGATGACATAAATTAAATGGAAATACATCCTATGTTCACAGATTGGAAGACTTAATATTGTTAAGATGTCAAAACTACCCAAAGCATTTTATAGATTCAATGCAATCCCTGTCAAAATCCAGATGACAATTTTTGTAGAAATAGAAAAACCCATCCTAAAATTCACATGGACTCTCAGGGACCCTGAATAATCAAAGCAATCTTGAAAAATAACAAAGCTGGGATACTCACACATCCTGATTTCGAAACTTACTACAAAGCTATACTAATCGAAACTGTGTGATACTGGCATAAAGACAGAGCACATACACCAATGCAAGAGAACAGAGAACCCAGAAATAAACTCTCACATACATGGTCAAATAATTTTTGACAAAGGTGCCAAGAACATTCAATGGGGAAGGGAAAGTCTTTCCAACAAATGGCACTGGAATCAAAAGACATCAACATGCAGAAGAATGAAGCCTGACCCTTACCTAACATCACTGCAAAAATTAAGGCAAAATGGATCAAAGACCTAAATGTGGGACCTAAAACTATAAAACTCTTAGAAGAAAACATAGGAAAAAAGCTTCACCATGTTGGATTTGGCAGTGATTTCTTGGATGTGACACCAAAGGCACAAGCAACAAAAGAAAAAACAGACAAATCAGACTTTAAATAAAAATTTTAAAAAGTTGTGCATCAAAATATGCTATTAACAGAGTAAAAAGACAACCTACAGAATGGGAGAAAATATTTGCAAATCACATATTTAATAAGGGATTAATATCTGGAATATATAGAGAACTAAACCTCAACAACAAAAAACCAGACAATGCAATTAAAAAATGGGCAAACGACTCAAATACAGATTTCTCCAAAGAAGATGTACAAATGGCCAATAAGCACATGAAAAAAATACTCAACATCACTAATCATTAGGGAAATGCAAATCAAAACTACAATGAGATAACACCTCACACCCATTAGGATGGCTACTATCAAAAAATAAATAAGAAACAGAAAATAACAAGTGTTGGCAAGGATGCAGAGAAATAGAACCCTTGTGCACCGCTGGTAGCAACGTAAAACGGTACAGACACTGTGGAAAACAGTATGGTGGTTCCTCAAAAAATCAAAATTAGAATTACCATATGACCCAGCAATTCCACTTCTGGGTATATACCCAAAAGAACTGAAAGCAGAGTCTTCAGGAGATATTTGTGCATCAATGTTTGTACCAACATTATTCACAATAGATAAAAGGTGGATGCAACCCAAGCATCCATTAACAGATGAATGGGTAAACAAAATGTGGTATATGCATACAATGGAATATTAACCCAGCTTTAAAAAGGAAGGAAATTCTGACATATGTTACAACCTGAATGAACCTTGAGGACATTATGCGAAGTGAAATAAGCCAGCAACAAAAGGATCAATACTATAGGATGCCATTCATATGAGGTACTTGGAGTAATCACAATCATAGACACAGAAGGCAGAACGGTGGCTGCCAGGGGCTGGGGGAGAGGAGAAAGGGGAGTTATCATTTAATGGGTACAAAGTTTCAGTTTTATAAGATAAAGAGAGTTACAGAGAGGGATGGTGGTGATGGCTGCACAACATTACGAATGGATTTAATACCACTGAACTGTACACTTAAAGACAGTTAAGATAGTAAATTTTGTTATGTGTATTTTACCACAATAAAAAAAAATTGAAAAAAGAAAGAGAACAGAGAACACAGAGAGCAGATATCATCAAAGAGTAATACACAAAACTTCCACAGGTAGAGAAAGACAAGGTGTTCTCGGGGAAGCTGCCCTCTGCGGATCCAGCACAATAAACAAACAAGGCCGATGCCAGCAGCTGTCATCATGACACCTCAGAACACCGGGGATAGAAAGAAGTTCCTAAAAGTCCTGCTAGATGAAGAATAGAGCATGCTACAAATAAAGGATCAAAGTGAGAATGGCGACAACACTAAAGGGAAGGAAATGGAGAGATGACGTCAAATTTCTAAGTCAATTTGAAATGTCAATTGAAAGGAATATGAGAATAACACGACAAAAAAAAATATATAGAATGATGGCATTTTCAGAGACAGAAGGTCTCAAAAATCTTACCTCCGTGTGCCCTTTCTCAGAAAGCTACAGGAGGATATTCTCCACCGAGAAGGGAGGTAAACCAAGAAAGGGGTCCCAGACACGGGGGAATCCGAAAGAGGAGAGGGGTGGGCAGGGCTCAAGGGGGACAGACTGCTGTGTGGGAAACAGACTGAAAGATGCCAGGAATGCCTGACTATGGAAATGCACTGAGAAAACAAGGAGAATGCAATGGAGAAACCCAGGAGATGATGATGGGGGGGCGAGGAGCGGGAAGAGAAGAAAAGGAAAAGGCCGAATTAAGAAAAGAAACATAGGTTCCTCAAAAGGACAGACACAGAGCTGTGCCTACGAGAATGGGAGCGCGGCAAGGGGGTGTCTGTTCTCTTCATTCCCTGCTTTATCCCTGGTGCCCACAGCAGAGCCTGGCCAAGCACTTGGAAACAATTTCCTGAATAAAATACCTGTTGCAATGATATTGACTTAGCCAAAAATGGCAAGATAACTGTTGGGAAGATGAGGTGAGAGGAAGCAGAGTGGTTTTGGAAGAGAGCTAAATTCTCATCTACTGGACTAGGAAAAGTCAACGTATGTTTACAAGTAAGAATCAAGAAATAACAGGATAAACATCCTACTGAGAAAAATGGAAGCCCATAGCCTAAAGAAACAGCTGGGGTGGGGTGGGGTGAGAAGGGGCAGGGCAGCGGATTGCTATTTTTTGACATAGACCTTTTAGTGTTCTTGACTTGTTAGAAGAAAGTCAGATAGTACTGTGATAAATGCAAAACTGAACTTTAAAAAATCAATTCTATTGGGCCGGCCCGTGGCTCACTCGGTAGAGTGCAGTGCTGATAACACCAAGGCCCCGGGTTCGGATCCCACATAGGGATGGCC